CTAGGACTAGAGTGGGGTCGTTTGTGGTTAGGGTTAGGACGTTATGTAGATTGCGGGCGTTGAAGGGTTTGTTTGGGGAGATGTATGAGGATATGATGTTGACTTTGTATTTGGATTTGATGTTGACACCTACTGCGTCAAAGTCGGAGTTGGGAGGGATTTGGGTGTGGGATATGGAGTTGTGTATGAGGATGGCTGTGCCTCCAAAAGCATTAAGCTGGTTATAGCTGCAGTATATTGAATAGTTGGTTGGGATAGGGAGATAGTTGGGGTTGGATATGTGGGTTTCTTGTAGGGCAACAATTAGGGGGTTATATGATTTCATGAGACTTTGTAATTCAATGTAGTTTTTTTTTGTAGCCGTGTATGTTCCGTTGCATAATTTTAAGTTGCATACTAGTGTTGGCATTTTCTACTAAGGGGCTTAAAATGAATGTTAATACTATTGTTATCATTTAGAGTTCTTCTTCGTTGTAGATTTGGCTAGAAAGGGTGTTGTTGGATAGTGACGCTAGGTTTGTAGTTTTTGTTTTTTCAGATTTATCTTTTGCCTTGAGTGGCTTGGTGACTAGGTTGAGTTTGTCCTTTTCTTTAGTCCAGCTTCGGAGTTTGCGGTCGGTATCTGGGATGGTTTTGGTGTTTTTGGTTTTAGTTGTTGCCTCGAGGTCTCTGTCCATGTCCATTTCTTCTTGGGTGGGTTGCTGGATTGGTTTGGATGGGTGTGTGTTTGAGTCTGAGATGTCTGCGTAGTTAGTAATTGGCCTTTGGTAGTGTGTGGTCTGAGTGTTGTATGATGATGAAGGGTGGTTGGGGGTCGATGTTACTGTTTGTGTTTTTGCAACTATCTCGGCGTATGGTGTGGATTGGTGTGTGTTGCGTTGAAAATATATTTTTTTTGCGGTTAAGAAGTCTACTTTCTCGGAAGATTTGATAATTGCAATCTCTTTTTGCTTGAGAAATTCCGGACATTTGGGGTCTAGTGGGCTGTGGTTGTTTTGGATGTTGGTGTTATGTTTGCAGTTGCTGCAGAATTTGAGCTTGGAGCATAGATCGTCGTCGGCGGGGTGTACTTCGGAGCAGTTTTTGCAGATTTTGGTGGTTGTGCAGTATTTGGTTGGGTGACCGAATTTCTGGCAGTTATTGCATTTGAGGGGGCGAGGCGTTTGGGGGCGTACGTTTACTCGTTCGTAGCCTATCATAATATGCTGTGGTAGTGTTGGTGTATCGAATGTGACGATAATCAGTCCGGTTTCTTGGAGTAAGCCTTCTTTGTGTTTGTGAATTTTAGTTGCGTCAATGACCTTTTGTGTTTTGAGTAGATGACACCTTTGGAGGAGTTAAGTGTTTTGTGGTCTGATGCTTTCACAGGAAAGTCGTGGAATTTTACGATTTTCAGGAGCTTTGTTGCCTGGGTTGTTCCTTTTGTTTTAATGAGAAGTGAACCGTCTGGTTCTGGTTGGTTGGGTCTGGTGGTCGCGACATTTCAGGTAGGCTAGGACTGACGCCCGCTGCACTTAATTTTGTAACTGTTCGTTAGGTGTGTTTGTTTTTGGTTTTTTGGGAGTTTGCTTTGTGCACTTGAATGTTTTTGTGCTAGGTTTTGTGTGTTGGATTTTGGTGCGCTCGCTGCTGCTTAGATTTGGCGCGTCTTTACTTGACGGAGTATAGACTGACACTCATTTGCTATTATTATTTTTTTAAGTTATGCTTAATTGAATCGAAATTTGAGGAAAATTCAAATTCACCGTTTTCTTTGGTTTGTGCCGGAAATATTGGTGCCTAAAGTGTACTTTTTAGTGTGTCGTATTCAAGTGTCGGGAAGTGTACATATATAAAAGTGTAATTTATAAAGGTCTCAGGATCTAAAATGTTCTTTTAGCTTAAATCAATAAAATTTAAGGTTGAGACTTCAGAATAATTTTGAAATGTACTATATTTGGCCGATTGTTCCTATGGCAGCTACATATATGTACTTTTATCGCTCTGATCGGATTTTTTTATGATTTAGAATATTACAAAAAATTTGATATTCAGCTCGATAGGTTAATATTCAACATTGACTTGAATATTCTTTTCTAACGTTTAGAAAATTCTGAAACTCATCTTTTTTTGTCAGTATTTGATTGTAGTCTTTTATAAGGTTAACAGATCGCTCAGCTGTATCATTAAATAGTATTAAATTTTGAAATATTTGTAAATCATTTCGAAATTTTGATCTTCATTGAAAAGCCATTCTGAGTCGATATAACCATGTCTGTATGTCCGTTCCGATGTGCGCCTAGATCGCAGAGACTACAAAAGATGGGGCAACCAAATATTGTATCCAGACTCCTGTAATATCACACTGTTACGAGTGTATTGCACCTATCGCTGTTGGGTCTGCATTTGGTGCTCCTACTGGTGTTTGCCAAGCCCACGTGGACCTTCTTCCAGAGCTATGTTCGCCTGCGCAGCGTCCAGGACCAACTGCAGTCACAAATTGCCAAGAAGAATAGCGAAGTCCAAGGCCAAAGCAAGATCAAGAAGGAAGCGAAAAAGAAAAGGGCACGGAGAAGCTAAGCGCCGAACAGCAATCCTTTCTGAACGCCTTCGAAAAGACACCACAAAAGTCATCGGGCGGCAAGGCAGCGGCTCCTACAGCTCCCGCTATGGCATCCACTTTGTTCGGTGCACGCAACTGGCCCTGCTGCCCTTCTTCCTGTGCAACTTCATCGGCGTGGCTTGCTTCCGCTCGCTGCACTATCAGTTCTACGTTTGGTACTTTCACTCGCTTCCGTATCTGGTCTGGTCCACGTCCTTTACCCTGGGCGTACTGCTGGAACAGCTAACCCAGCACTTATCTGTCCAGCTCGGCCCTGCATCTCTGTCACCTCGTATTGCTTTTTGGTGTGGTTCGTCAGATCTTCCAGATCCAGATAGTGATCCACACTGTACTTGTAAGCAAATGTAATTTCAATATTTCGCCCGACCCCTTCCGCCCCCACAAAGGACGAAATTCTGTGGCATGAAAACTAAAACCCAGAATGATAGAGAATGACCATATCTAACAGATTACCGAGCCTACTGCAACGGAACTTCCCCATTCTCTCTCTCTCCTACTCTACTTCGTGCAGTGTGCGTGATTTGGTGAAAGGAAGCCAGATAAATTATAAATTAAGATTATTGTAAGAATAGAAAAAAGAGATAAATGTACAAAAAATTAAATAAATATGGAAACAGATCAAATCGAATCTTTATTGGAGTCTAACGCCAAATAGGCCAATCTTAATCTAATGTATTTATTTCTTCAATTGCAATTATCGTTTTAATTAGTATGTACATCAAGACTTGATATAACAAGATTTTGATGGGGAAACACGAGCAAAAGTAACCATGCCCTGAACGTCTTTTCGCGAATAAATTAGAGCAAAGACTATACAATACCAAGATGTTGCATGAGGAACAAATTCTTTTTCAATTTTCGTTTGACGCTTCATGGTACGGGCGCGCGGGGCTATTACTTCAATTCTCTTTTACGCTACCTTCGCCTCCGAAATGCTACTCGGCTTCGAGTCGGTGTGTCTCGAGAGAAAGAATACAAATACAAATATGAATCGTCTGCGTGCCGAAACCGTAGGGCAGCGTGGTCGCTGATGTCTTTGGCGCGGCACAGTGGGGACTCAGCCGAAATAGTAAAAAAATTGTATGAGTGCTTTAGATAAATCTAATGTACGCATCTAATAGAGAATTTTCCAATCGAATTTTCCCACTGTGCCGCTCCAAAGACATCGCCGATCCGCGACCACCGCTTCGACGGTGCTGAGGCTCGAGCGTCCAGAATTGCCGAACAGACGAAACCGATGGGCAGCGGGGTCGCGGTAGAGATGGAGTACAGGCGAAAAGGGAATTGAAACCCCGCGCGCTCCCTCGTGCCTTTTGGGTTCTAATGTTAGGACCCGCCATAGAACAGCTTTTTGGTCGCTCATGCAACATCTTGGTATTGTATAGTCTTTGATTAGAGTTAACGTAAACAGTACGCGCACAATGTTTTGTCAATTCAGCTTGGCAGAAAATAATTATGGCATTTCTTCTGTTACTTAAATGCGTTGCAACGTACTCATTAGTTACGCCAAACTTAAACTTAGTGTGTTTCAATTGTGTTCTAGGAATCTTAAATCTGACAAAGAGCGGAACATTTGTACCTTATGCAAATGCTTCCCTCAAAAATATACGACACTTCTGTGATGTCTGCACGGGAAGTATACAAAGTTTCGGTCTAATAATTTTCCCTAGGAGAAATGCAGCGCTCTTAAGTTCCGACAACTGAAAGTTGGGTTTGATAATTTTACTTCAGTAGATGAAATTAATTTTGGCGCATCCAGAATTTGTTCGCGTTCCTTAAGTGAAATAATGATGGGGGTTTCAAAGCTTCTACAAAACGCTTAATATGAAAAGAAAAAGATTTGCCTACATTTGGTACAAAGAGATTATTGGATTTTGAAACAGCTAATTCTGCTAATATTTATAGTATTATAGTATTATTATAGTTTAGTATTATAGTATTATAATGAAGGTCAAAATATAAAAATAATTACACAATTTGAATTTACTTTTTAATTTAAAAAAAAAAATGAATTTAAACGAAATTTAATTATTCAGCCAAACGAGCCGTTAGACTTATAAAAGTCTATAATCAAGTACTGAAAAAAATTAGAAAAAAGTTGCTGAACGTCGCCAACAATATTTATTATTGGCATAAATAATAGTCCATCGAGCTGAGATTTTCGCTGCGAACTTATCTTTTAATATTCCAAATCATCCAAATATTCTACGTTGTTGAATTGAGCTATAACTTCATATTTTATTGATTGTTTCGCCAATAAAACCAAGCGCAACCCTAATGTATATTAACATTATATATATATATTAATATTAATATATACTAACTTACTGACTACCGGTTACACAGGTATCGGAACTCTAATATATATTTTCACTTACATTACCAATCATATTTTTAGTGCTACGATTTGTTGCGCCCTGATGTAATTTTGGAACTGGCATGGAAACATAAGATTATGGATTTTGCCATGCCCTACTTAATACAGGTAAAGGCCCATCTAAAATCAAAATGTAGTTAAATTTACACTAGTGGTCCATTTGACAGGTCTTGCGTGAATACACTAATAAAGTTGATAAATTGGAGTTGAACGAGGCTCAGCGCGAAAAGGAAGAAGACACCACTGAACATAAAAATATTATACAAATGGAGCCGCAACTTATGATAACTGCTGGGCCAGCAATGGGCATTCCGGCTCAATATGCACAGAATTATCCGCCTGGCGCTGCTACAGTTGCTGCTGCGACGACAACAGGGCGCAATATGGGCTATCCATATTTGTAGGCAACGACCAGAAAGCAAATAAATAAAATAATAGAAGTAATGTGAACAAGAAATGTACCATCATCAAAAACATTACCAATACAAAAAGAGTAACAAGTTAATAGTTTATTTTGCACCAAAATACATCAACACCTACACTACAGCTCAAAAACAGTATGAACTATAATCAGACGCAGTCAAACTTTTTGAGTGTTATTTTGAATCGGAAAAGTTGGATAATACCACAAAAATATGGGTTAGTGTCATTATTTTCTTTATTAACAAAATATTTAATAGTGTAGTTTAATGAAGAGCTGTCATGATACCTATTAAAAGGAAAGTATCTATTCGTCCTCAGAATCAATTTTCAATTACATTATATACATATATCCACATTTTTATACCCAATATACCAGCAGGAAGCGTTGTAAAGATCGGCATCAAAAGCCGATTCGGATCAGATTGCATAATTATTATAGTCTCTATGTTTTTTCCATCTTTCATGTCAAGTGCGAGTTAAATTGGGAGGATTCGCTTTCTGCGTTGGCTGCCCTACTAAAATCCTCCCTCACGACATTAGCCAACAAATCAATTGGTCCCTTTTGCAAACATAAATACCAGAAGACAGGGATAGAGCAGGCGACAGTCATTGACTCCGAAATCATTTCCGGCGCTTCCGTAAATTCGCATATACAGTCATGGAAAGATAATATAGACGGCATATTTTTTGTTTTTTCTTTCTTTGTATTTTCCAAAATTTGTGAAAAATGTTTATTTTAAGTTTCATACTTTTTTTTACAGTGTATACAGTAACGTATCAAAATATAACAAAACAATAAGATTAAAAAAAAAATACCAAAAATTATTTTATATTTTTTTTGATCTACAAAACAAGTTGCATTTTTCTCGTTTAAATTGGAAAAATGTGTTTTAGTCAGATAAAACTATGGTCAAATTGTTTGGATTTGATGGGAAACTGTCCACGACACAAGGTACTCTATTAAAACGTTGCAGAAAAAAAGTGCCTCCCACTATGTAAAAATACTCCGACAGTATAATACTGAACAGGAAATGCAATTAAAGTGGGAGTTACAGCAGGATAATGACCCGAATCACTCCTAAATTCTGACTAAGAAATGGTTCCTGATAAAATGGCATTTAGTCCAATAATTCCAAAAATAAAGATAATTTGTGAAAAAAAGTTAATATGGTACTCCATTGATCCAATCCGCAAAAGTAAATGAAAAACGGAGCCTGCCTGATTGTATAAGTTACAGAAATCATAAGTTAATAATCAGCTAGGCGGCTCACTACATTTCCGCTTGTTTTGAATGAACGTACGGCTCACACTTAGTATTTTTGATATTTGATCTTCCCATAAATGCACAGTTTCTCCTTACTTGGTTCCTGAGGTCTTTACCATGCCGTAATTTGTAACGGTGCACTTTTTGCCACCTATGTGGAATATTTTAATTCTTCCCGTTTCCTGAAACCGAGCTACAGTGCATTACACAATCCTGCGACTAGCTCCTACATTTTTTAGTGAATTAGGTTAGGGAGTCTCGTCAGGATTCCCGAGTGCCCAACCGCGGACGCTTTCCACTGTTTGGCTCCTCTCATTCTGAGGGCGGAAAGTGTTGCAACATTCTTTCCCATGAGATCTACAGCGAGGAGGTTCAGCACGGTATCCAGGGCTTCCCTTGGAGTAGTGCGTAGCCCGCCAGTTATGCATAGCTCTGCCGTGCGTTGAACTCTACTGAGTCTGTTAAGACAATTAGTTTTGTCTAGGGCTGACCACCATACTACCACTCCATAGAGCATGATTGGTCGTATGATGGCGGTGTATAGCCACCGAGCTATATACGGGGTCCTTCCCAATTTTAGTCCGATTGCTTTCCTGCATGCATAGAGGGCCACTGTGGCCTTCCTTACTCTATCCTCTATGCTCAGTTTCCAATCGAGCTTTCTGTCGTGGATTAGGCCAAGATACTTGGCATTGTTGCTGAAGACTAGCACCTCCCCACAGAGTTTTGGGGGTGTCACTGCTGGAACTTTGTACCTAGTGAAAAGCACAAGTTGCGTTTTACACGGCTTAACTCCTAGCCCGCATTCGTCTGCCCATCTCGATATCTTCGTGAGAGTACTTGTCATGCACTCACACAACGCCTGCAAAATTTACCGGAGAATGCTATAGTCTGCATACGACCACGCGGCAACCACCCCCTGTACCTGTGCAGCAGTACGTTCACTGTCACGTTCCACAGAAGAGGCGAGCGAACTCCGCCTTGCGGTGTGCCACTGCTGACAAATCTGGTGGACGTTGACGTCCTCAACCGTCCTGCATTGTAACATCTAATCGATTAGGCTCACTGTCCGGGAGTCAACCCCCAGGTCCGTCAGTGCGCCCGTGATGGCGGTCGGAAGGAGGTTGTTAAAGGCGCCTTCTATGTCGAGGAAGGCTACAAAAGTGTACTCCTTAAAGTTAAGGAACGCTTCGAATATCGATGTGATCGAGTGTACGGCCGTTTCGGAGGATCTTCCCTTCCCATAGGCATGCTGGGAGTCTGAGACCATACTGGGCGGAATACACGCTGTGAGATGTAGCCCTAGGATCCGTTCTATCGCTTTCAGAAGGAAAGACGATAGACTAAGGGTTATGAAATCTTTTGGGGAAGTGTGCGAGGGCTTCCTGCCTTGGGAATAAAAACGACTTAGGTCTGAAGCCAGGTGTCAGGGATGCACCCGTGGGCACCCGTGCACGACAGAAGGAGGCGCGAAGTAGTTGGGTGTGTTTTCATCTCAGCCAGGGAAGTGAGTATTAAGGAGATGATTTAGCGACTCATCGCTGGACGTAGTCCAAGACTGGACGGCGTTCTTCACGTAGCCCAGAGTGGGTGTTGTCTTCGAGAGAACTCTGCGCGGGTGCGAGTTGTTCTCGATATCGCTACAGAACTTGCGCCAAGAGGCGCGTTTGGCTTTCCTAAGTTCTTTGTTATAGGTTGACAGAGTGTCCTTGTAATCAGCCCAGTTTTGCTCAACGTTTTCAGCCTGAGCTTTGTTAAAGAGTCTCCGGGAGGCTTTCCGGAGTTCCCCCAGTTTCGGATTCCACCATTCAGTTTTCTTCCGGCCTCTGTTCTTGCCAGAGGGGCAGGATTTATTAAGCGTCGGTGAAGATTTTAACAAGACAAGTCGTGGCCTCCCTGGGAAACTCCTCCTCAGGTGGGGACTCAGGGAGAACATGACAAAGGTAATCAGAGTACCGAGTCCAGTTTGTCCGCCGGAGCTTCCGGAATGGAAGGGTAATGAAGGGAGAATAGAGTTTCTACGTACCTGTGGTCCGAGAAGAAGTGATCTTTCAGGACCGTCCAGAATACAATGTTCCCCTGTATCTCATGAGAGGCAAGCGAGAGGTGCAAGACCTCCTTGCGGTTTTTAATTATGAAGCAGGAGTCACTCCCTCGATTTAATAAGACCATATCAGTGGTCAGTAAGTAACTGAAGAGGTACTCACCCCTTTTGTTTGTGACAGTGCTTCCCCACTGGAAGTGATGTGGTTTCCGCTACGTATAGCTTAGAGTCTAAAGTCCTCAGACCGGAGACCGTGTTGCCGAGGACTATGTCGGCTCCACCCTAGGCCAGATGGAGCAGTAGCGCAGCGCATGCTGCCTTAAAATGGTGGAGGATTATCTGCAGGAGCGTCAGTGATATTCCTGGGGTTCACCTCCACCATTGTTGTTTCTAGGTCGCTGTCGGGGGACTCCGGCTCCCCCCGACAATGGTCTGGCTGAGACCTCTGGCTCGTCGCTCTCGTCGGACCCGTAGTCATCCAGGATGTCGTCCGACACCATGGACGCCGCATCCGACGCCGGGTTGGCCACCTCACACGAGGCCTCTTCTTTTGGGATCTCCGGCAGCTCCGGGTCTGTCTCGACCTCCACTTGCCTGCCCTTGCGATCGGACTTGTAGGTAGATATGGTAATTTTCTTGTAGCCATAATCCACTACACCGTCAGTCTTTGCAACGAGCTCTAGGGACTCCTCATTAAGGACGAGGATGATCTGGCGCCTTTGTCCTTGGATATCCTCCGCCTTGGCCACCTTCCAAACGGCTGTAGGAAGGTGGGGGTTGCAGACCTGCAGTAACCTAAGGATCTTCTCATGTTCTGCAGGCTTAGCCGAGACCATGCTCTGGCTCTCGGTCGGCTGGAGACATCTTCCCACTTCACAGCCTCTAGTTTCGCACTTGGTTAGACCTTTTTGAGGGCAGCCACCGCCTTCAGAGGGCCGCAGAGCGATCGTGTTGGCATGCGATGGCTTTCCCCTTGCCTTGATGCCACCCTGCGTCCTCACGCTTTGGCGGAGTTCCGCCCTTCTCCTCCAGTTCCTGTAGAAACCTTTCCTGGAGCTCATTCTCCACCAGATGCCACTTGTCCCGAGGGACATGGCCGTCCTTGGCGCCCCTGTCCAGGACGCCGATTAGGGTCTTGCCCCTCGCAACTCAGCGAACGATCGGTTCGTGAAGTGGGTTTTCACCCGCTTGGCTTGCTGGGCTCGGCCTGGCTGACTAGCGGGATCCTCCGCTGAGCATTGCCGCTTGTTGGGGGCCTTGGCTGCGCCCTTTCCGGCTTTAGCTGGGAATGCTCAATTCCTCCGGATGACGAAAGGATTGCCAGGATGAAAGCCGCTCGTCTCCTGTCCTGGTACGACGGCTTTCCTCCCCGTGGTGCATAGACGCTGCCCAACGGGGATCCCATGGGTTCTTCGGTCCCGGAGCGCTTACCAGCCGCGATTACGCTCTGCTTAGTACACACCCCGGTACCCGGTTCGCCCTTGGAGTCATGCGACTTGGAAGGACCCGATTGACTTTTCGGGCCCCCCTCGCAGCGGCTGCTGCTTGAAGACGGTGGACCGACTGAGTGTCTTTCCCCGTCTTCCTTGGACATGGTTTCCCAGGCGTTGATGAAGAGGGATGGTCTTGTCCCTCGGGTACTTTAGATGGAGTACCGAGCTCCTTTGCGGTTTTGTTGTTTTTTGTATTTTGAGTAGTTGAAATAATAGCTCCCACGAGTAGACGGGAAAGGGGTTGGTCACCCGAGGCACAGCCCGCTTGCCCCGGGAAGCCTGGTTTAAACTGGAGATCGACAGGTATCCAGAGTTCGCATAT